AAATTTTCCCCAAAATAATCAATGTTCTCAACACCATTTGCTAAGCAGTTCCTTCCTCCTCAAGGCAGAACTCTGACCGCAGGAAGATGGTCAAGAACTTGATGGAGACAGTACAGAGCAGATTCAAGCTAGATGAGCTTTTTAGCCCCTTCCAAATATGAGCTGCTCTTCTGTGGTGGGCAGAGGCTTCCAGGCAGACGCTGACCAGAGGCAAGTCATGCTGTCACAGTGGTGGAGCGAGGAGGTTTACCAGGCAGCACCTGAGGCTACTTTGCTCTGGAAGGACCCAGCAGCCCCAGGGAAAGGCCTTTTGCTCTCTCAGTATAGAGATGAGCAAGTCTTGCCAAAGAAGCAACTGGAACTCACCAGCCCCATCAGGTAGATCTCACCCTAGAATCTAGAGAGAGGTTCCCTGAGTCTTCCTCGACTCCCCTGAGGTCAATGCCCCACAGACTGCCCCCTTAGCTTTGTCCCCTCGTGTCAGCAAAGGTCCCCCACCTTTGCCTTGTGACTTCCAGACTATCTTCTGCCAGGACCCAGGCCTGGCGCGCACCCCCCAGCAGCAGTGAACCCTGGAGGGAAGGGGCCAGTGAGGGTGACCAGGGCGACTGGGCCAGCACCATGCACTCTGCACGCCCTCCTCAAGGCCTCACTCCCTGGGGGGCTTCCCTCCAGAGCAGAGGCCAAAGCTGTGCGAGAGGGCCTCCTCCTCTGCGGTGAACAGTGTCGCGGAGGCCCCGGGGACTACGGGCTCTCTCTACTGAGGAGAGCGCACTGCTGGGGCCAGTCAGGAGGGCTGAGGCCGTGGGCAGGAAGGGAGGATGAGAAGGGCAGTTGTTTTCCCTCTGGAGTGTGAATGACCCCCCGGGGCAGCAGAGAACTTCCGGGGAAGCAAGTGCCAGGGATAGGTGAGGCCAGGCTGGACACCTGGGAGAAGCCAGGGGGGCATAAAAGCAGGCCTGAAGCGGAGGCAAGTCAGGCCCAAGGGGTCAGGAGTAAAAATTACATTGCTATTCTTGGAGTTTGGTTTAGTTCTTAAAGCTGGGGGTGGGAATCCTCTCAACCTGCCCAGCAGCAGGAGGTGGCAGTGAGGTGGGAGTTGAAGGAGAAGAGAAGGGGCTCTAGGGAAGGTTGCTTGGGCTCTCCTTGGAGCTTCCCTAGAACCTGGAGGATGCTCAGGGGGCAACTCTGGGGGAGAGAGTCAGGCGGCGTCGGGGCTGAGGCCTGTGGACGCTCTGCCCCAGGCTGTCAGGTGAGGAGTGAGCTTTCCCTTTTCACGGTCGTCAGGACACACAACCCTGTAGTCTGTGATTTCCTCCAGCCAGAAGCCCTTTCTCCAGAAGGCCCTGCAGAGACAACCCCTCACCTCTGCTCCCCATTGAGCGGCATCGATGGGAATCACAGTAGGAGCCAAAGGAACCTTAGGGAGGACCTGTGGGCTAGGTCTGCGCCCTCGTTTTACAGGCTGAGGCCCGGGAAGTGAATGGTTTACCCGAGGTCACACCCGAGGTTAGTGGCAGAGCCAGCAGAGTGATGAACCAGGTGGCCTCCCCTCCTTCAACTCCCGGCCTAAAAACGAGACCTGACACAGGGCACTTCTGCCAGAAATGGTCCCATAGGGCCTCCTAGTCATGGCAGCAATCGGCAGACTTACAATTTGGAAAACCAGAAGGGTAGTTAATAGCACTGTTCGAGGGAAGCAGGGCTGGCACCCACGTGTAGTCCGAACACCACCACACGGTCTCAGAAGAAAGTCTCGGACACGAAATGTAATGATGTGTGTAAGAAGGTACAGACATTGCAGCTCTGGGCCGAGGGCAGTGGGATCTGGGGCCAAGTCCTGCATCTCTTACCATTTGTGAGAACTAAGGCAAACGTGTTTATTTTGGTGGGGGAAGAGGGGACAGGATATTTCATTTTTGGTTTTTTGGGGTTTTTAGTTTGTTTTTTGAGACAGGGTCTTGCTCTATAGCCCTGGCTGGAGTGCAGTAGCATCATCATAGCTCACAGCAACCTCGAACTCCTGGGCTCCAGCGATCCTCCTGCCTCAGCCTCCCCAGTAGCTGGGATTACAGGCGGAAGCCCCTCCTCATGCCTGGCTAATTTTTATTTTTCTATTTTTTGTCTTGCTCAGGCTGGTCTCGAACTCCTGAACTCAAGCAATCCCCTCACCTCGTCCTCCCAGAGTGCTAGGATTACAGGCATGAGCCATAGCACCCAGCCGACAGCATAGTTCCTAATCTCTTTAAGCCTCAGTTTCTTTGATAAATGGTGAATATTAATTCTGCAATAGTATAAACATTTCTGAGATACAAACAACATCGAAGGCTTTTTAGGAGCCCCATCTCATGAAGACATCACCACCGCCGTATCAGATTGGGGGTGGGGAGGCACTTTTTCCATGCAACACCTCAGCTAAACTCTGGATAGTGGCACCTGCTGGGGTGGCTCAGGGCTTGCCACCTGGAGTCACGACTCCAGGGACACCCTCCCCAGAATATTCTGTGTAAATGGCACCCCCAAGCACAATGGGGCCCCTTGAGTTTGTGTGTGTTAAGACAGGAGACTGAAATGAACGGTGGGCTACCATTATTAAGCACTCACCGTTTGCCCAGCATGGTCCAACAATCTGGTGAGGTGGATAGCTTATCTCCACTGACGCACGAGGACAAGGGGACTAAATTACTGGCCCACCGTCACACAGCTAGTAGGTGTTGGGAGCTGGACTCAAACTCAGACCTCAGGTGCCAGAGTCCATTCTCTTCAAGGCTGGACTTGACTCCCCCACCCAGAGCCCAGATCTGAGGGCTCCCTCTGAGCCCTCCTCAGTCTTTCTTCCAGGGCTAAGGCTGCAGGGGTCCCCTGGAGCCCACTCTTCCACCCCCACGCCCAGAGGATGGGCCGTGCCTGGGCTCCCCAATGCCAAGCCCGCTGGGGAGGAGCCTGGCCAAAGGCGGGCCACCCCTCTGGGCCCCCAAGAACACCGAATATGGCAGCCCTCAGGGCTGTGGTCCCTCCACAGCTGCCTGGTGTCCTCTCCAGCTCAGCCCGCTACCCTACTCCCTGGCTTCGCACCCTTCAGGTCTCGGAGAAGCCCCCCACCCCCTCCCTGCTGCTCTCTGTCCTCAGAGCATTTGTCGCGGCCCGTAAGCTTATCCTCATTGGGAATCGTCTTTTCCTCCACGGCAGCAGAGACCGCGCCTCTCCGTTTTATCCCCAGTTTCTCGCCCAGTGCAGCACTGAGAATATCCTTTAAAACATTTTTGAAAAGTTTCTTGCTTAGAATTTCCTGTACTTCCTATTTTTCTTTGCTGGACTTAGTGTGTGCTTCCTACCTTTCCCTCCTTATCTTCCTTGCTAACACCTACTGTTCTTTCCCGGCCCAGCTCAGCCGTCTCCTTGAGGACAGCGTTCCTGAACCCTCAGTAGGTGACATGCCAGACGGAGGCGAGTTTCTCTGTCTGGCCCCATACAAGGAGCCCTCGCTTTGCAGGGCTCCCCTGGGGACCCTCTCCTGCCACGGGAGCCTCCCAAGGTGCAGAGAAACAACCTAGAAAGGTGTCAAGACTCAGCGAGCTCCACTTTTGATAGCCTGGCAGCCTGGGTGGGGGTGGGGGTGGGGACCGTCTGGTGGGCGAAGCGGGTTATGGGCGCTGCCGACTAGAACCCTGGGGAAATCAAGGTGAAAGGCAGCGTCCTGCTGCGGAGGCCCACCCGTGTATCAGTCAGGGGGGCTGGGACAGGGCAGGAAGAGGCTCGGCTGCAGAGACAGCTGTGAGCGGGGAAACCCACACCCACTCCATGGCCCTGAGCAAGGCCCTGACGGCCCGCCCAGGCACCGCGGGTAGACACCGCAGCTGGGGCCGCCCCGAGAGCAGTTCCAGCATAGCTCTCTTTCCAAATACCTAAGTTCGGTTTTAGAAAATACGGTCACTGGAGCCACAGGGCTTGCAGACAGAAATCTTCTGCTCTTGACATTGCGTGGGGAGCGTGGTGGTGGCAGCAGGGTACTCAGTGGCCTTGGTCCAGTGGACACACTGGGCACTGGCCCTGCAGCCTCTCTCACCCTCTTGCGGGCCAGAGCCAGGGCCTGGGGGGCAGGGGGAGGGAAGCAGAGCCAGCCGGGGGACCAAGGGAGGAGGCGGGTACCTGAGCTGGGGCACGGAGAGGCCTCCAGGCTGAGTTCACCCTGAGAGGCAGAGCGGAGCTAAAGAGGTCAATGGAACAGGCCGGGAGCAGGCGAGGGCTGCCCCCCCGCTGCCCCCACCCCAGCTGCCCCTTAGAACGAGGGTCCTTGGCATCCCTCCTGCTCCACCCAGTGCCCAGGCCATCTGAGCAGAGTGAAGATGTCAAAGCGAGACCCCCAAATCGGATTGAGGTTCCTGCTCCCCCTTAATGAGGTTCATTATCAGCTGCTCTGATCCTTGTAAAACCCAGCAGGCTGGATTAGGGGCAGGCTCTCTAATCCTGGCGGGCTCCTCCCTGGGTGCTCTGGCAAAGAAGCCCCCCACCCTGGAGGAGGAGAGGAGGGGGGCCAGGCGCTGCAGCTGGGCTGAGAGAGCAGGAGGAGGCAGGAGGGGCTCCACATCCCAGCGGCCTGTGCCCTGTGCACAAGGAGACTGCAGGGGGCTTGGGGCCTGGAGAGCTCTGGGGGTGTCGGGAGGATGCCTCCTCGCCTGCAGCCAGGAGCCACGTGTGCTGGGGGAGCGCCTGGCCAGGTCCCGGGTGGGGCTGGTCTCTGCGCGTTCTGTCCAGACCTGGACACTCCGTCCAGTAGCAAGTTAAGAACACATTGATGCTTGCCTTAACAAAAATAATTTATTCCACAAGGCTACCAAGCAGTGGGGTAGAGTGGGAATTCCGCGTGTGTACAGGCTGCCCTCCCCTTGTGCCCTCCCGACCTCTGCACACTGGGAGGCGGCACCTGGGGACGACACCTGCCTTGCTATCTTCAGCCCAGCACCCTCCACAGCCAAACTACTTTGCGGACTGCTTTTCTGTCCGCATCTACTTTGGAGACCAAAATAAAAAGACAAAAGACCCAGCTCAGAGAGGGTAGAGCTCAATGGGGAGAAGCCAGAGCACATTCAGTGCGGCCACCTCTTCCCTGTGGCCTCCCTCTACCTCTCATGGCTGAGCCCAGAGCCAAGGCACTGCAGATCCCGACACCCTTCCCTGCGCCACCTCGCCAGGTCTTGCACCAGGTCCCGCCAAGCCACTCACCCCACAGCCCAGCAGCTATCGCCTGCCTCACCTGGGAGACCGGCACGATTCCCAGAAGCTTCCAGACTCCCCCACCCCCACAGCCGAATCCCACCAGGGAGATCTGTGTAGCTGGAGGCTGGGCAGGCCACAGAGGGCCAGAGGTGGTCTGTCCTTCTTTGGTGCCAAGGCCTCTTGGTGTCCAGGAGGAAAGAGGGTGGACGGAGGCCTAGAATGTGGTAAGGAGTTCCACTCCAGCCCACCCCACCCAGGGGACCCTCTTTTGGCTTCACTTGCCCCAATTTAGGGCCAAGACCAAGCAGGAGAGATTGAGGCTCCAGTGAGAATGGGGCAGGACTTCGAATAAGCTGAAAAATGGGATTTGGTGCCCAGAGGCCAGTGGCTGAGGCTCCCTAAGCTCTCTGCCCGCGGCGACCCTGCTCAGTGCCATCAAATGAATCTGGCCCCTGCTCCTGTCGTTTGTGTCTATGGGACTGTCCTTCCCAACAGACCCAAGAAGGTTCACTGGAGCCACTGGTTGTCCTGGGTTTCCCACCCCTCTAGGCTGGACAGGAGCAGGGGGTGGGAGGGGAGGGCGGGGCGGGGGCTGGAAGGGCCCCACGGGTGGCAGCTCCCGCTCTGGCCCCTCCCGAGCTGGGTGGTTCAGGCTGCAGGGTGGCCAGCAGGGCCCTTCGGAGCCCTCATTTTGGCTCGGAAGTAGGTGTACAAGGCCAGCAGGCCCATGAAGGAAAGGGAGTAGAGCCCCACACAGAGGCTGACGTCCAGGCGGGAAAAGCCCCCTCCCAGCACCTGCAGCCACCGGCCACGGCCCTGCTGCGCTCGGGCCTCCAGCTCCCAGGCAGGGACGTCCGCCAGCTGCTTGGAGCTGCGGCCGATTCTCCTCAGCCCTACAGGGCCCCCGGGGCGGTTCTTCTCGGCCCCCGGCTCAGCCAGCAACGCGGCCCCTGAGTCTCGCTTGCTCAGGTGCCGCAGAACACGCGGCTGCCCCGGCTTGTCACCCCCCTGGAGCTCTGTGGCGGGCTCGGGGGGCCCCTGGTCTGAGCCGGCATGAAGCTCCGGGGTGCGACTTGCTTCAGGTCTCTCGGTGGGAACATCTGGAACGGTGGTTCCCGGGGACTTGGCCACCTCAGCCTTCTCAGGGCCCAGAGTTGAATTCCCAGTCTCCAGCTCCAGGCTTCCCAGCGCCAGCTTTGGGGTGGCTGTCAGATTCTGCGTGCCACTCCGGGGGGCCGGCCCAGCTGGAGGGGGGTCCAGGACGATGTTGCTTGGGGAGAAGTGGGCCTTGAGGAAGCTGAGGGTGGCGCCCATGTCCCACACAGGCACCCCCGCCAGCTCATTGTGGCAGGCCGAGCAGAGTTCGCGGGGCGGCCACTGCACCTTGGGGAACTGGGGGTCCTCGCTGGGGGCGCCTGCGGAGGGAAGCACACGGGACGTGAGAAAGCACAGATGAAAGACCAGCCCATGGTGGGTGTTCAACAGATGGCAGCGCCGCGGAAAAGGAGGATGAGGAGGGTTCTATCCACGTGCAGCGCCCAGCACTCTGCGGCTTCCCAGGGAGTGTGAACAGCTCCTTCCCAGTCACTGTCCAGTGGCCTCTTTGCCAACTTTACCACCAGTTTATACCCTGGGACCAGACACAGGAAATGGCGAGGAGAATGGTCTGCAGAATAGTCTGTTTTGCCATCTCTGGATGGTCTGCTAGTGTTGCCTTTTTGTATTTTTCTGAAATTTCCCAAATTGTATACAGTGAAAATATATTACTTTTGTTAAGTAAAGGGAAAATGTTTTTTTCTTTTTCTTTTTTTTTTTTTGAGACAGAGTCTCACTCTGTTGCCTGGGCTAGAATGCCGTGGTGTCAGCCTAGCTCACAGCAACCTCAAACTCCTGGGCTCAAGCGATCCTCCTGCCTCAGCCTCCCGAGTAGCTGGGACTACAGGCATGCGCCACCATGCCCGGCTAATTTTTTCTATATATATTTTTAGCTGTCCAGCTAATTTTTTTCTATTTTTAGTAGAGACAGGGTCTCGCTCTTGCTTAGGCTGGTCTCGAACTCCTGACATCGAGCTATTCTCCCTCCTCGGCCTCCCAGAGTGCTGGGATTACAGGCGTAGGGGAAAATGCTTTTTAAAACAAACATCAGCTATGCCAGGTAATTCCACAGGTACCCTCCTCAAGCCAACTGCAGCTCTCTGGGGTAGGCGGGAGGTAGGGGTGGGCCCCAAGAAGCGGGTGTGGGGAGGCCTGGCAATGCTCAGCAGGGTCTGGAAGTGGCTGGGCCAGCTCTAGGCAGAGCCCCAGGCCAGCCAGGGAACACCAGCCAGCCCATCCATCCCTCTTGTAGGAAGTGCCTGTTCTAAAGGTTTTAATAGGGGAAAAAAGATACTGACCACAAGCAGCAGCAGCAAGTGACACAGAAGTCACAATGGTTATTTTGGGGAGTGGGCAGCAAGTACATTCCAAGAGTCAGGCCTCAAAAAGTGAGCACTCAGTACCTGCTAACTCTTGGTTTGCTCTGAGAGGCCCCCACCAGGGAGAGAAAGGCACTGCCTTGCTTTTGGCCCTCGGAGGGACACCCCAGCTCCTGGCCTTCCAGCGGCAGCTGGGAGCCTGCCGAGGTCATGGGGCTGGAGGGTCAAATGGAGCATTTGGTGGCAGGGCAGGGCGGGGGCATGGGGGGAAGGGCAGGAGGAAAAGACAGGCACGTGTCTTCTTTTCAAAGTCCACGAGGAGGCCCCAGGAGACCAGGACCAAGTGCAGGCGCTGGACCACCACCTGCTCCGTCTCTCCTCGGCTCCGCCCAGCCCCCACCCCTGGGAGGGCTGTGCTCCCCTCCCCTCAGACAAGCCGCCTCCTGTCCACAGATGGCTCCTTCCCCACCCCGCTGTCCCTGGAGTTTAATGCTTTTGCCTGTTGGGCCCATCAGACTCCTGCGCGTGGGGAAAAGAACACACTGTCAGCGAGGAAGGGCAGAAGACAGGGCCTCCCCTGGGGGAATCACGGTCCCTGGTATTTCCAGGAGGACTGGTCCTGTCTTCCAGTGCATTCTGTCATTAGGCCCTTCTGGGGAGTTGCGGGGTGGTGGGGCGGGGGATCCCAGCTCTCTCCTCCATAGTGGTTTGAGTAAGGGGCCAACAGCCAAAAAGCAAGCAGGAGAGGGACCCCAGCAAGCCAGAGTGGGGCGGCGGGGGGGCCCTGGTGCAGGCAGAAGAGCGAGCAATGGCATTGGAACACCAGGGACTTAATGTGTCAAAGCCTCAGTTTCCTCATCTAGAAAAGGGGTCTAGTGATACTGGCTTGGTTGACAGGGCTGGGATATTACTAATGAGACAATGAGTGTCCCTTCCCCCACCTCTGGCCCAAGACCCCAAAGCTCCCTCACCGCCCCCTCCCCTGTAGGTGACTCCAGCCTTGGAAGCGGCCCTTCCTTACCTGCGAGGCGGGCATTGACCCTGTTGTGGGAAGACCAGAACCAGAGGACGGCGTCGTCCAGACTCCCCACCTTGTGCATGGAGGCAGCGGCCATCTGCTCGAAGTGGCCCGCGCAGTCTCGGCAGCCGAAGAAGGCGCGAACGTAGCCCCGGATGGCTTGGAGGACCTCTTGGGCCTGGGCTGCAGGACAGAGGAGACGCCATGCACCTTCAGGCCACCTGCCCCTGCCGGCCCCACCTCCGTTCCCTCCACAGGTCGCCTTGTCCTCCCCAGCCCCGCCGCGGTCACCCCTACGCGGGTGCCCCACACCCCAGCCCACGCAAGGAGAGGCCCAGTGTCCCCTCGCCTACTTCTCTACCTGCCAGGGTTGCTTCGGAGGTGACCCCATCTCCTCGCAAACTCCTAAACCCAGTTCTCCTTCTCTGCTACTCATCCAGGTGCTTGTCGCTTACACCCAGGACAAAGTCCACACTCTTCAGCAAGACACTCAGGCTCCTTGCGACAGGGCAGGAGAGCGCCCTGCTCTAGCCCCACACTCCTCCGCCCGCCTGCTTCAGGCTTCCCCCTCCCGAGCCCTTCTCTCTGCCCTGTTCCGTGCCTCAGGGCTGCTGCCGCTGCTTCCAAACTCTCCGGCCGCTGCAATCCCCCCTTTAGAGGTCAGTCTCCTGTTCTCACCCCTCCATCCACAGGGACCTCAGCACCCTGCTCGCTGTAGCTCCTGGCGAGGTTAGTGCCCACGCCCGCCACGCCTGCCCCGGCCCAGGCGCCACCTCCCCACCAGGAGGCCGCACCTGCCACTGCCTGGGCGGGGGCTCACGCCTTCTCGCCTCCTCCAGGACGTTACTCCTGCGGACACTTTCTTTCTTAGCTGCACCATCGGTGTCTCCCTTACACAGGGGATTATTCCATTACGATAACAAAATCCCCTCTCTGACCAGTTACACCCCGTTCCCGCCCATTGTCTCCAACATCTTGCCTCCTCCTCTCTCCTCAGCCCAATCCAACCCGGCCGCGTCTCCATCGTCCACGGAAACGGCTCTCACGGAGACATCTTCGTCTTGCGCCACCTCCAGCAGCCTGCGCCCAGCTGCGACACTCTACTTTGGGGCCCTGTGGAAATCACAGTGGCGGCTCCTTCTGACTCCTTGCAGCGGTCTGGACGCTCCAGCGCCCCAGAGCTCAATCCTCAGCGCTCTTTTCTACCTCCCCACTAGGGAGCTCATCCAGTGCCGTGTCTTGAACTGTAATCTACATGCCAGGGACCTCAAAGCTGACCTCTTATCCTGCGCCTCTCCTCAGAAGCCCAGACCCCATGTGCACATCTCCATCCGGATGTCTAGGAGGCACGAAACAAGACCACCGATTCCACCTCTCCCCTCGAGCCTTCCCATTCCTCAGCTCACAGGACCATCGTCCCACCAGATGCTCAGGCCCCACGACCCCAGACCCCCCCCCGAGTCCCGGTTCCCACACACTCTTCCTCCAATCCACCATGAAGTCCTACCAGCTCTGCTCTCTAAACACCCCCAAATCTGACCACTTCCTCCACGGGCCCCCCCAAAACTCTAGTCCACCATTGCTCCAGGACCATGTGCACAGCTTCCTAACTGGCCACCCCGTCCCCTTGCCCCACCAGAGCCCGCTGTCCACCGAGCAGCCAGCGACCATTCTAAAGCGCCCGTTGTCTGTGTCGCTCCCCCGTTAAACTCACCAGTGGTTTCTCATCACACAAAACCCAAACCCATCCCTCCCTCCCAGACTCGGCCACGCCAGCCTTGTGTCGGTGCTGCCGAGAGGCCAGACCTGCTGTCTGCACTGCTGGCCCTGGGCCTGTGTTATGGGCAGAACTGCGTCCTCCAAAACTGGTACGTTGAAGTCCTAAGCCCTGGTACCTTGATGTGGCTGTGTTTGGAGACAGGGTCTTTAAAGAGGTCATTAAGGTAAAATGAGGTCATCGGGGTGGGCCCTAATCCAATATGTCTGGTGTCCTTGCAAGAAGAGGAACTTTGGACACGGACGGGGAGAGGGACGACCACCTGAAGACACAGAGGGAAGGTGGCCTCTCCCAGCCAAGGAGAGAGGCCTCGGAAGAAGCCAGCCCCGCTGACCCCTACACCTTGCACTTTGGGCTCCAGAGCCGAGAGATGGGAATGTCTGTCGTATGTGTCATGGCAGCCCCAGCACGCTAACGCAGCCTGGAAGGCTCTCCTCCCAGGTGCCCAGGCTGCCCGCTTCTCCCTGCGTGGGTCTCAGAGAAGCCTTCCCCACCCACCCTCTCTAGACACAGTCCCCCCCACGCCACTCTGCTTTGTCTTCCCCACAGCACTCATCCTCATGCCTGGAGGGATCTGTTTGTGTTTGCTGTCTGTCTCCTGCCCCTGCAGCACTGGCCCCGGGAGGCAGGACCTTGCATCTCAGGCGCTGCTCATCCGGGCTCCTGCGGTGCTGCCTGGTTGCACCGGCCCACTCGAGCTTCCCCCGCGGCTGGCAGCGCCTCTGACTCACTCTGCCTTTGTGCAGGCTGCTCCCTGTGGCGGGGATACTCCTCTTCCTCTCTGAATCCCTAGTCCCCCATCGCCTCTCAGCTCACCCCCTGGGAAGCCCCGTGCCCCTTCCCAACAGCACCGAGCGTGCCCTCTGTTCGGCCCGAACATCCTTCTTTCCGCCGTGGCCCTCAGACCTGGTGCGCTGCAGGGAGCTCTCTGCCCACCCTGCCTCACGTTGGACGGTCACTGAAAGTGTGCACTGCCCCTTTTGCACCTCGTATCTGCCCTCCAAGCTGAGCCAGGGCTTGACACAAACTTGGTTCCTCGGTACAGGGACTGATGGGACGCCCACGCCTTCAGCGGCTAAGAGCAGGCGTGAGACAGCGTGGGTCGTAGAGCACAGCCGTGCCGTTTGGGGAGGGAACTGGGTAGCAGGGAAAATGTTTCCCCGGCTTCTCCTAGAAAATTATTTTTCGATGGGAAATGCAACACAATTATTCAAAGTGCGTGGTATCACCTATGTCGGTTTTCTTTTCTTTATAGGAGTATAAAAATAGAATCACAAATTTTTCATGAACGTTGAGAACACAGCAAGCTGTGAGTCCTGAGCAAGCTGGGAGAGGCCTCATGCCCCAGAGTTCGAGGGGGCACTGGCCCAGAGGCAGAGGACAGGACTGGGCGAATTCTCCGAGCCCACCCCCTTCCGAGATTGGGCCCTTGCTGGTCGCCTGTGGCCAGCTGCGGATGCAGAGGTCCTGCGGCAGGGAGCCCGGAGCCTGTCTCCATCCAAGCCCCTAAGTATGGGCCGGCAGCAGGGAGCCAGTGGGTCCGTTCCAGGGAGCTGCCCTGTTCCCTTGTCCCTGTGGAGGGCGGAACACAGCAGGGTCTGAGGCACGGCAGGGGAACAGCCCTGGACTCACCTTTCTCCCGTGGATGGTCCACCTTGTGCCGAGCTGCCTGCGCGGTCAGGAGGTGGAAGAGGAGCCACAGGGAGCAGGGAAAGCCCCGGAAATGCGGCTCACTCCCTTGGCAGCCGACCCAGTTCACCTTCTCCGCAAGAACAGCACCCTAAGGACACATAGGAATGTGAGTGCGGATACGGAGAGGGAAAAGGATGGGAGAGAGGGAGGAGAGACGCTTCCAGGAGGCTCAAAGGCCAGCACACAGCCCTCAGAGGGAGGAGGTCCCTTGCTCAGTCTATCACCTTGAAGGTGGCATTTCCCTGCCACTGGCTCCTCCCTTCGAAGGAGCAGCAGATCTGAACACCTGTGACACAGGTCAAGTTACGTCCTGTTCTAGCCTCAACTTCCCCATCTCTAAGACAAGAGGGCTGATCTCCGAGGTCCTTTCAAGTTTTGAAATCCTACCAGTCTACAAGGTGTTGCACCTCCGCTGGCTGTAGTGGCCACCTCTGCCAACAGCAGCAGGAGCAGGGGCCCAGAAAGGGGCCCTGGTGGGGGCCAGAGCAGCCGTGCCGAGGGGCACCACGTGCCCGAGGCAGCACGGAGCAGTAGTTAAAAACTCTGGTGTCCGTCAGGCACAGTGGCTCACGCCTGTAATCCTAGCGCTCTGGGAGGCCAAGGCGGGAGGACTGCATGAGGTCAGGCGTTCGAGACGAGCATGAGCAAGAGCAAGACCCTCGTCTCTACTAAAAATAGAAAAATTAGCTGGGCATGGTGGCACGTGCCTGTAGTCCCAGCTACTTGGGAGGCTGAGGCAGGAGGATCGCTTGAACTCAGGAGTTTGAGGTTGCTGTGAGCTGGGCTGATGCCACAGCACTCTAGCCTGGGTGACAGAGTGAGACTTTGTCTCAAAAAAAAAAAACAAAAACAAAAAACCAAACTCTGGTGTCTCACTGGTTTTTAATCCCAGCCCAACCACTTACCGGCTGCATCATCTCAGATGAGTTGTTTAACCTCTCCTAACCTCAGTTTCTTCAGCTGCTAAATGGGGATAACATCTGTCTTCTACTAATGTTATGAGGATTAAATGCACATAGCTCAATAAATAGCTTATTAACTATTAATGGAACAGTGTAAGATCACTGGTTCCTTCCTGAATGCACATCGGTGCAGGTCAGAGATTACACTGTCAACCTGTCCCGTTCCCTAAATATCACCGATGGGGAGGAGATCGTTTGCTTCCCACACTCACCTCCTTCCTGTTGTCCAGAGCAGTTTTAAACAAACTGTAGGGAATTTTCTTTCTCTGCTGCCTCTTGAGCCACTCGTTCACGGAGTGCAGAAAGTTCTGGACTAAGGGCGAGCCAGGGAAGTACTGTGGGGAGGAACAAGCGGAAGTTGGAGAGCGAAAAGCAACTCCCCCAGAGTCCCACAGTCCTGCAGAGGGGAGGGGCTATGCAGAAGTAGGCCAAGGCAGTTTTCTGGAAAGTTCCCAAACCACCAGGGTGTCTATCCTGTCTAGGACGCAAATGTGGATTCCTCCCTACCTTTGCTCTAGGCCCCTGGTAAGGCTAGAGGACAGGGGTGGGAAGGGGGGGTTCCAATGGGAACTGGGCCCTGATGGTCTCCCCATGTCCAGGCTTCAGGCTCCCGTGCAGCCCACCGACCATGTGCCACCCTGGGAGGAAGGTTGCTGGGACCCTGGGCCACAGGTTCTCTCTGAAGGTGATCTTCTGATAGAGCAGCTGACTTGTCAACTGACGGGCTGGCCGGGCTGGGCTGGCAAAAAACCTTTCATTTGTATTCCGTGGGCTGCCCGTGGGACCCGCCAGGCCAGGGGCTTCTAGCCAAGATCCAGACCTTGATGGTAACTCCCAGTAGTCTCTGAGGAGCAGGAAAAGCCACTTTGACAATAAGTCAACTCAAATCTGATTAGTATCAGCACTTTAAAACCACAAGGGCTCCAGGGAGGAGGACGTGTGTGCGTGCACGTGTGCGCGTGCACATGTGCACACACAGGGCGGGAGGCGGGAGAAAGGGCTGCAGCAGCAGAGCAGGTCAGATAAAACCCCCAGGAGGCAGGTGGACAGGACGACGACCCTGAGAAACTTACAGTGAAAAAAGAGCAAAGAAAAACATTTGTGAGAAGGCCACTGGAGACAGGAATGTTAGCTAAACCGAAAAACCTGCTAACAGATCCAGTCCTCTGAGAGAGCCAGTCCACGTTGTTATCAAACCTCAGGGGCTGGACAGTTTCCCCCAGAGTGAGCAGTGGCTGGAAAGAGCCCTGTGTCGCCACGCTCCCTGCTGGCAGCCCCCAATTTACAGCTGGAAGTCAGCACTTCCCATTGACCTTTGCGGCACCTTGACGAGCCTCTGAGGCTCCGGCTCTGCAGCAGCCGGAAGATGGATCAAGGGCTCTGGACTGCAGGGAGCGAGGACAGCCTGGTGACCGCACGCCACCCAGTGGCCAGTCTGGCCAGCCGCTCACAGCAGGAGCAGGCAGAGGGGGGGCGGGAGGGCAGCGGCGACTTGCAGAGGGCCTCCCCACGGGCACCCCCAGAGCTGGCAGTTCTCCAGGGCTGAGCCGGCAGGCAAACACTTTCCCCCTCAGGCCTTTGGTGCCCCTTGAGCGCCGTGCACAGGCCGGAGGAGAGGTGGGTGCAAATCCCAGCTCAGCCGCTCACGGCTAGGGGAGCCTGGACAAGGCGCTTCACCTCGGGGCCTTTGTTTCCTCGTCTATGAAATGGACATAATACTAGAACACACCCTCTGGAGTTTGTTATGAGAAATAAAAATAAGCTAATACACAAAGAGCACGCTGCAGAGTCTGTCCGGAAATGGCAGCTGCTACTGTCATTACCACTCAGGGCAGAAGACTCTGCAGTCTCCGGGGATGAGTGGGCAGAGCTCAAGCCATGCCCCCCAGGCCCCTCTGCTCCTGCTGTTGGGCTTCCCCGGCTTCCTTCCGCCCCGTCTCCACGCCAGCCCTGTCCTCCCGAAGGCCCCGGCTCCGGCAGGAGGGCTCCTTCACCACCAAGTCACTTCCAGGCCTTGCAGAAGGTGGCAGCCCAGCAGGCGCCGCCGAGAGGGGCGCTTACGCCTCTGCCCCACTCACGGATTTCCCGGCTTTCATTCTTTCCCCTTGTCTGGCTGCAAACAGCCCCACTAGGGCCACACAAAGAGCCAGCTTGGAGCACGGCTGAGATGCGAGCAGCACACAAGAAACCACCTCCCTGCGGTGATTCCTTCGGAGGGACTGGGACGCAGGGGGTGGCTGTCTGAGGAAGGCGGAAAGCACGCTGGGGGCTCTCCTCAGGAGTCAGGAGTGGGGACCGCTCAGGGGACCCATCGGCCACTCTAGACTCTTCCCTCTGAGTCTCCAGGCCGCCAGCCCAAGGCCACTGCACCGTGGGGACCTGGCGCTCTCGGTCTCTGAGGCAAGGTCTCTACTGTGGCAATGGGCTCAAGAACAGGGGCTCATTCTGCGAGGGGCCAAAGGCTGTCTTGCCTTAGACCATGACATCCTCATGAGGCCCTCTCAGCGTCATCACGCATGCATGTGACAGTGTGGCCTCGTGGCCAGGACTAGATGACGTGGGGAACGTCGCCCAGGCTGGCAGGAAGCTCCCAAGGAGAGGCACAAATTGCTCCCGAGGCAGCCCCAGCCCCCAGGGCTGAGGGAGGCTGAGCCAGCAGCCAGCCCCTGCAGCGACCACAGCCTGTGTCTGACTCAGCAGGGCTCGCTGGCGGTTCCAGCAGGGCGGCACTGGCGCGGGATCTGGAGCCAGAGAGAGGGACGGCACAAGCAGGAGGCAGCCCACCCCCCTCGCCTTCCGGGAGGCAGCAGTGGGCAAAGCAGCTCGGGCTCTGCAGCCGGGGCGCTCAGTCCAGGCCTGGCCAGAACATCTTCCAGCTGGGAGACCCAGGGCAACCCCAGGTCACTTGAGCTCCCCGGGCTTCTTAAATGGGGTGATATCTGTCACCTTGCAGAGCAGGTAAGAGGATTAAACGTGTGACAGGCATCAGGCAAGAAGGAGCTGCCCTTCATGGAGTAGCCACCTTCCCAGGAAACCACAAAGGAAGGAGGACACGGCTAGGGCCCGGGGTCTGGGTCAGACTAGGAGGGAAGAAAGGAGATTCGGAAACAAATCGTCTCCTTCACCGTGGCATCCCAGGGCTCCTGCTTCCCCACGACCATGGCAGGGAGAGAGATGCCACATTCTGGCGCTCAGACTGAGGGGGAGGACTCGGGCCTGTGGGCAGAGCCACAGTCGCTGAACCAGCTCAGAGTATCCCCAGGTGTCAGGGTCCCTGGTCCTGTGTCCCACCCACCCCCCTGCGTGGGGCAGGGTCGTCCCTGGTAGTGCAGGGCTGGTGTGGGGTACGCCTGAGGCTGGACGGGGGCAGCCCATGGTGGACTGGGAGAGCTGTGGGTCCAGGTGTCCGGCCAGGCCACGGGCTCCCAGAGGAGGGCTAGCGTGGGCCCAGCTTGCAGGAACGCACACTGATCATAAGTGGAATCGCACAGACAAGAGAGGCCATGGCCCTGCTTACCTTGGCCAGCACTGCCACGAACTTTTTCAGGGCCACCAGGCGCTGTCCCTCCAGGACTGAGAACTTGCCCACTTCTACCCGCAGGATGTAGTGTAGCGCTGATTCCAGGTCAGCCATGTAGATCTTAGAGCTGAGGAGCCAGAGGGAGGCAGAGAGGCAAAGGGGCATTAACCATGGGGAGGGTGCTGGGCGGGGAGGCGCATCCAGGGCTAAAGGGAGAGAAGAGGAGGGGCACTGCTGATGGTCACAGTGTCCTGTAAGTTAGCACTTGCCTCTGCCAAAAATTGGCTGTGTGACTGTGTAAATTGGCTGTGTAAATTGCTTAACTTCTCTGAGCCTCGATTCCTCATTCGTAAGACAGGAATAATAATATTAATACATTGCTCACGAGAAGGTTGCTAAGGTGATTAAATATTAATAAAAGCACAAATGTAAAACTCTCAGCAGCTCCTGGCATAGGACAGGGGTTTCCCCTCCTCAGGCCCAGGGCCAGCCCGTGGCTCACCAATCAGGCCACTTCTGAGCAAAGACCCTCTAGGGACAAACGGACCAGTAGGTACATACACACAACATGGCTCTGGAAAAGCTGGGCCCTCTTTGAAAGCCCAAGGCTGGGGACTGGGGGGTGGGCGCTGGAAGGGAAGTGGGGTTTGCATTTCTTTCAGTGCTGACGTGCTCACAGCTGCCAGGCCCCATGTCACACCTCCCCACAGGACGGGAAGGGCTGTGGTTTCCATGCTGGCTGCTCCGCCCCGCGTCCATCACGCTACTTGGGGTCCAGGCTCAGGGCTCTGACGGCATGAGCCTTGAGTGCTGGCTGCCGCTCCACCCCTGCCCACCAGACCTGGGTTCTAGACTCGGTTCCACAGTGAGCTAGTTCTGTGAGCTTGGGCAGGTCAGTGACCTCCCCGGGCCCCATTTACCTGACCTGTACAACGAACGAGTCACACCTGCCCCGCCTGCCTCCCAAGGTCGTAGACAACTGCTACAGGCAATGACAGGGTGAGCGCTGGGACTGCCTGTGCTCCCCTCTCAGGGCCAAGTCCCCTCTCTGTGCTCTACTCAGTGTCCTTGGGCCTCAGTTTACCTCTCCAATTCTCTCATGCAGCCCCTCATGGAGGCCACCATCCTGACCAGCTCTGAGCTCCCTGGTCCCATAGTTCCATTTGGTATGCAGCCGGTGCCAAAGCAAGAAGTCTATGGCTCTGTCTCCCTGCCCCACCAGCAGGAAGTCTATCACAAGAGAAAACCAAGGAGCCTCAGAGAGAGCAGCTTGCTTATGCTTACAATTATGCACAGCGATACAGGCTACCTGAAGAAGTGGTGAGCTCCCTGACACTGGAAGCATTCAAGTGAGGTTAGCTGCCTTCCCAGAAGGGATGCTGTGAAGGGCACTGTAAGGTCTGTGTGAGCAGGGCCTACCTATGTCCTCTGTATGTCTGTGTTTACAGAGCCTCGCACATAGTGAGTACTCAAAAATATTTGCTGAGGAAATAACGGCTTGGGTGGGAAATTGGTTTGGAGGCCTCAGAGTATCCGTCCAAGCTGATTCTACTTGTTCTTGAACAGAGATGAGCTTAATGACCGCAGGCACTGCAAAGCATTGCTTCCATCACGAAGGGTAACTGCAGATGCTGTTCCCCCCACCCATAGTCAGCAGTGGCCGGGCAGCCAGTTAACTGCCGCCGCTCCTGCACCTTTGAGGCCCCTGTGCGTGCCTGGCCCTCAGTGAGGGGTGGGGGTCTAGGCTCAGGAGGGCACGTGCTGAATCTATGACAGGGCACAGGAATGAACAAGAGAGTGTGATTGTAAACGGGGGGTCTGTGGACACAGGAAGGGCTGGGATGGGGGATACGCGAGCACCAGGTGTGGCCTTACCGATCTGCGAGTTTCCAAACGGTGGGAGCTATGCTGTTAGCAGTGGTGGGCGCAACGGTGGTCCGGGCAGCCTCCCTGGTGAGCCCAGCGAGCCTCTTCAGGTAATCGGTGTAGAAGGCCCTGGATTCCACCACCCTGTGAGGGCAGAGAACCACAGAGGAGAGGCAGTGAGTCTGGAAGAACAAAACCCCAGAGTTAAACAACGTCAGAAGAGGAAGCGGAGTGGCTCAGCCCACAGAAATGTCCATTAGGAAATATTTGAACATGGTTCCATCGTGCCCCCAGTGAGGCCAAAATAGGGCACCCGGGCCTCACTTAACCTTTCTAATCACTGCACATGTGGGTCAGGAAAGCCTCTTTGACACCGGCCTGCGGTCGAACCCCCATCTGGAAAAGCAGCAGGGCCTGAGGATTCGCCACCCTGCGCTCTGGCTCAGGCAGCGCCTGGCAGAGCCCACGGACGGGAACGGCTGCCTTCGACGACCTTCCTCACCGACCTCGGGCCCCAAACAGCAGCTGGCCTCGAGAAAGCTGCCCACTCACAAGCTTGCTGGAGATACTGTGCGGTGACATTACTCCCCGAGGAAGTCAAGGGAGTGTGATTTTAAAAAATAGATAGCCTTGACCACAGAGAGCCACCAGAATGCTCAAATCTTTTGCTAATCCTTTCGATTTCTTTCTCTCTTCCAACAGAGAGGAGTCCTCAAGGGCGAGAAATATCTCCTGGGCACGAATTCCCTCTCGCACACCCGGGTCGGGGCCACCCAGAGGGAGAAATGCGAAACGCAGGGGCAGCGGCGGCGCGGGTGCCCAGGGGAGCTGGTGGCGGGCCACAGGCTCTCCGCTCCGCCGTCCTGGCCCGACGCTGACGGACGAGCAGATGGCTCAGAGCACCATCGCCACAAGCAATTTTCCCCTCCACCAACTCCAAGGGAGGAAACGACGCCTTCTCCCCCCGCCAGGCCTGGCACTTTCTGGTCCTGCCCAGAGAGCCAGCCCCGCCCTGTGGCCACCAGGCCTCCTGCACTGCCTGCCCCAGTGCCACCTGGTGGCCGGGCCGGGCGAGGGCGAGCAGCTACCCCGCCAGCCCGGTGCGGGAAGCCCTCAGGAGCAGCGTGCTGGGCAACGCCACCACCGCGCCTTCGGCTCCTTGGCCCCGAGCTCCTGCCTGCAGGGCCAGGCTGACATCAATCATCTGCCCAGGGAGGGCACCGAGGCACCATCTGGTGCCATTTAACGGGCCATTCAGCAGCGGGAGCCTGACAGAGGGCTGAGGCTGGCCTGATTGTTTTCTCTCGGCATTTTGGAGCTGGCTATTGTCTGGCTCCTAATGAACTTTTCTGCAATTAGAAAACCAAAGGGAGGGAGGGTCAGGCATATTGGAGTTCTTGCCAGGCCTGCAGCCTGCCAGCGAGTCTGTCTGAGAGCAGACGAGGACGGGAATCGGGCCAGGGCTGCGGCGGGGACTGCACACAGCAGTGGGGGGTGGGCGCCGGCACTGGCGGGCTGGGGGCTGAGCAGGACCCCTGAGCCGTGGTGCTGGGGCAGCACTCTGGGCCGGGCTCCTGGCTGTGGAGGCAGTGGCCCGCCAGGACAGGCAGCTGTCTGCCCTTCCTGCCCACGACTCTAGGCGGGCAGGAAGGACGGGCGCGGGCAGGTAGCAGAGAGAAGGCAGGGAGCCGCCACACTCACACGGACACTCGGGAGACAGATCCGTTCCGAAACAGCAGGTAACAAGATGGGAAGTCGGTGACACCAAACTTTCTCACCACGTTGTCCTCCGTGTTCAGGACCCTGCGCACCACTATGCCTTGGTGCTGGGACAGGTCCAGAGTCACCTGCAGAGACAGGAGGACACCTAGGGGGCCAAGCCACTGGACAGAGGGGTACAGGGCTGAGTCCCAGCTCAGTGCCCTGGGCAGGCACCTGGGTGGCAGCTGTGTTCCTTCCAGACTCTAAGCCTTTCAAAGCGGAGACCACTGTGACGCATGAGAGACACTCGTGCCACCAACCGCACCTAACCCACAGCAGCAAGTGTCAAACGCTGCCCACGAGGAGGGGCCTCGGAACTGTGCAGACCACACATCTTGAAAAGTCCTAGGAGAGTCCCAACTGAATATAATTTTCTTTCCAGTGAAAGCCGTCTGTAAAAGGCAGAATAAAATGCGGTTTCATTCTTATTCTTTTGTGTTTGTTTTTCATCCTGAGCAAGCACTTTCTTTCTTGTCCTTATGCCTGTCCCACCCCAATATCTGACTGCTCCCTGATGTCCCAGGATTCCCCGGGGCCTTCTCGTGATATCCACTGCCTGGCAAATATCCCGTTAGAACTTACCAATTACTGTTTGTCTGAAACCGCAATTGCTGGAGGCAAGAGCAGTCTTTCTTACTGAAACTTGAATCACAGGAGACTTTTAAAGAACTATGATTTTATTGTGTTAAAATATGTATGGTGATAAATTCATGGGCAAGATATGAACAAAATAAGCCTCTGGAATTGGTGAACTTTTGAATATTTAGCCCAGATGTCTGTAATAGTCAGAGGGGGCCTCTGGGCCAATGTGTATATTTATTATAAGGCCTGAAAAGGTTTTTAAATTTGGGGCTTTCTGAAGGCAACAAGAGGGATTGTTGAGAATGGCAACATCCCCACATCAGGAGAGAGGAGTCGTCAGCATGACCGAACGTGACGACCACGAATGGCAGGTGGCAGGTGGCAGGTGGCAGGTGGCAGGTGGCAGGTGGCAGGCTGCTGTTACCACCGTCTCCGTCCTCCTCGCCACGGAGCTGGTGAAGCCCCCTCACTTTTATTCTTATAAAGCTTCCTATCTATATTCCAAACCAGCAAAATGTACTTATCAGACATGCTGATTTTATCTGTAGAAAGAAGTAAGAAAGGACACGCGTCGGCTAACATTTACCGAGTCTGCATTACGTACTGTGTGCAGATTGCCTCGTTCATCTTCGGAACGACACTGAAATGGGGAGTGTTCTTAGGAGACCAAGAGGGGCAGCGCGGAACACTGCTGCCGCCTGCGTTCGAATCTGCCTCCACCAGGCTACACCTCTCCCTGCCCCAGTTTCCTTATTTGCAAAATATTAATAAGACTACCACCAACCTCAGGGACTTTTGTGAGAACTGAATGGGTTAATTTTATAAAAAAAAGGTGTGTGACAATGACTAGCAATGACATAGTAAGTATATAAGTGTTTATTTAAAACTAAAACTATTTTGTAGCTGAAGAAACTGAATCTTAGAAGTGAAATCATGTCTCCAGGTCACGTAGCCAGCACGTGTCGCAGCTGGGCTACAGATCCCAGCTCAGTCTGGCTCCAGAGTCTGGGCTCTCGGTCCCGGGCCCTCCTGACTCCCTAGACGTCCTGAGCACTTCCACAGGGACATGGGGCCCTTGGCTCAGACCCCGGGGGCCCCTGCCCCTGGTGGCTCAGCGCACTGTTGGGGGAGGAGAGGGAGAAGAGCTGATTCATTCAACATTTATCAATCACTTATACTCAACACATGTCCCCCGGGCACGGACTGGAACCCCAGAGGGTCAGCCACTCTTCAGCCCCTTCTCCACCCCGGCACCTCCCCTCTCAGGGCACAGAGGCCTAGAGACAGCTCTGGTTTCAGCTCAAACTCTCAACTGTGCTTGATGAGTTTCAGCGGGAAAATCACTCAGAGCCAACAGTGGTATTTAATCTCATCCCGCTCTCATGCTTTATCTATCTCCCAGGACTGCCTTAGCACATCTCCCGAGCACTGGCGTGTCCCGCCTTTGCATCTGGGAGACGCTCACAGTGGCCTGTGAAGTCCTCGAGCCAGTGGCAGAATGGAGAGCGCTCTGCCTTAGGCAAAGGGAATGGGTATAAAGCACCTACTGTGCCCCAGCTACTACTCCAGGCCCTTTACCTACATTGCCTCAATGGACTTTCCCAACAATATTATGAAGAAACGTAATTATCACTACTCTACAGACAAGAATCGAGGCTTGAAAAGGTGAACCAACTTGGACAAGCGCCATGGCTCATGCCTGTAATCCTAGCACTTTAGGAGGCTGGGGCAGGGAGTGTTGTTTGAGGCCAGGAGCTCACAACAAGCCTGATCAAGGGGCAGACCCCATTTCTACAAAAAATAGAAAAATTAGCTAGGTGCTGTGGTGCACACCTATAGTCCCAGCTACTCGGGAGGTTGAGATAAGAGGATCGCTTGAGCCCAGCAGTTTGAGGTTGCCGTGAGCTATGATGACGCCACTGCACACTAGACCAGGTGACGGAGCAAGACCCTATCTCAAAAAACAAAAAAACAAAACAAAAAGTTGAACAACTTGACCATGGACATATGTGCAAGAGACGGTGTGGAAATTCAAATCCACTTCACCTGGTAAAAGGGACCCCCATTTCCTTATGAGGACCTGGATCATCTGTAATATTCCCTCCCTCCCAAATTTTTAACTTCAAGGGGACAGAGCAATGTAGAAACAACATGAGCTCTATAGCCAGACAGACCTGGTTCAAAGCCTTGTTCTGCCAATTTACTAGCTGTGTGATCTTGGAAATATTATATCATCTTCGTTAATTGTGGGGATTAGCAACCGTGTGTGTCAGTAATCTAGTCCAGTGCACAATAAACAGCAGTTGTTATATGTGGTTTCAGTGAGACAGGTAAGAACAGACAAAAGATTTTTAAATGCTGAGGTCCATCTCCTGCACTTCCTGTTTCTCCCAGCAGGGGTCAGGCCAGTGCCAGGCTAAGAAATGCTCATGGCCAAGAACCTAGAATTGGCAGGAAAAGCCCTGCTCCTCCACTGGGGCCCTCTCCCAGTGCCTATCCAGGGTTTGCAGGGAACTGGAGGGCAGCTCACCTCTCTGCCCAGGTAGGAGCCTTCCTTCTCAAAGATCAGGGCCAGGTAATCTTCGTTGTTTCTTGCAAAGAATCCATCAATATCCGCCAGCCTGCAAAAAACAACTCTGGCAGTCACTCTCCACAGCCAGGGGGAATAAGACAACACCGCTGGGGACGCCAGACACGACCACGCGGCCCTCCTCTGCTTCCACACAAGGCCTGGTGCGACATCTCCCGCTGCCAGCCCTCCAGTGCAATAAACCAAACCCTTAGTCTCTCGGGATGTTGCCCTTGTTGCCTAACGCTGGTTCTTCACTGGACCCACCTTGGATTTTTGTGTTTTGTTCTTTCCTCCCATCTCTTTTAAGAGTCAGGAGTGAGCTGGAGGCTGTCTGGGGAGGAGGCCTGGGAAGGGATGCTTTGAGACCAGTTGTCTTGTGCTCTGGGAGAGGCCCAGGCTTACTGGACATGGTTTTTATTGGTCCCCCGAGAGACTGGTGATCAGAATCCATCAGCTACAAGCCTTGATCGGTGGCCAGTCACTATCAGCTGGGAGATCTGCTTTTTCCTCTCCGGAACAGGCATAAAAAAAGGAACTAAGGAATCAGAAAGTCCCGGGTACAGAAGACCTTAGAAGCTACCTATCTATCTATCTAATCCAATTTCCTTATTTTAAGATGGGGAATCGGGGGCCCAGTTTCCTCACTTTAAAATGAAGGTGGAAATGAATAAGAAAGCAAATTTTATTATGGCCCCAAATCAGAGAATTAAGCTACAAAGTGTTTTTAAAACTAAAAGTTTCCACAGAAAATACAAAAATGATTTGTTTCTTATTCCAATTAAAAGCAGACCATGCTCACACACAGGAGACTGTACCTTCTCTTTACCCTCAACCTGGCGACCTATGTCTCTCTGCCGGATCCTCTGACATGCCAGTGACCACCTCCAAACTGTAGCAAGGGGTCGACGCTGCAGCCGGCCCAGCAAGGATCCAAATGCACACGCTGGAGAGGCGGGGCCGGAGTGCACCCCACTGGATGATGAAAAGAGGTGTCGTGGATACTGACAGTCTCTGGGGTGGCACCGGGTGGCCGGCGTCTCAGACCCCTTCCCCAGACTCCCCCTCGGCTGGCAGAGGAGCACATGCTACATGGGGGCCAGCACCCCTCTGCCCCACGCCCACCGCAGACTTCTGGAAGAGGCACCTCGCTTCTCATCACCTGTCTCTGCCTCCTTCCTAAAGTTCTTTAAAAGGATCACTTCAAGACAGTTTGGCAGGTTTGCCTGATTTGTTGCTGTTGAGATATCCCAGCGCTGAAAATGTGCTGTGAGAGATGTCCAAGTGTGTGAGAGAGACAGAGGAGAGCCACGGAGAAACAGAAGCCGCAAGGATTGGTTGGGGTCCAGGTTGGCACGAGTGTTTCCTGGAGAGATGGGGTCTAGTTGCGGAACCCCAAACCACATCAAGACTATATGCTGGGTCCAGGCTCTCCCTGAGGCCCTCTTGGAGGAGGGAGAATTAGGAAAGATGACAAAGGAGTCTCTATGACCCAAGTGACACTGGAAATACCCTCTCAGCATGGCTATGGCTTGAAGACGCTACTACACAAACCTAGAGAGCTGTTGAGCACCAATAGCGGCCTTAAAGGGCCTTCTTAGCACGCAGGGCCTCCCCTGAGCTCAAGGCTGGGCTTGCTCTAGCAGTCCCTGCAGATACAGGGATTTGTTCCTTCCTGGCAAGTGTCCTCCGAGGCGGGCATTACCTTACCTTGAGTTCTCATCCAGAAGTGGGGGACCTAGTGCTTTTAATCTACCCGCCTCCTTCTTTGGGAGAGTTTGGCAAGACACCATGTACCTCTCTGTCCTCATTTGCTTAGAAAAAGGGCCACCCAGGAAGCTTGCCTGGCACCTTCCACTGCTCCTGCGCTCTGCAGCACAGGGAACCAAAGGCCACCCGCCCCCAGGCATGGCCATGGCTCAGACGAACAGGCACCTTTGGGTTACAGACACAGGACTCTACTCTTCTGACCCCCACCCCCGCCCTCTGCTCTCCCTTTCGCCTGCCTACACCCATTCTGACTCTCATGGCCCTCCCTGGGATAAGGTGTGTGGAATCCATTGGTGGTGAGAAGCAGCAGCAGTAAGACCGGGAGAGGCCCCAGCCACCATTTCCTCCCCACCTGGCGGGATGGGCCCTTGTACCCATCAGTCAGCCCCAGGAAGACAGGGCTGCTCAGTTAGGACCGCAGCAACAGGAAGCCCGTCACCAGCCACCAGCCACCAGCCACTCTGGAGTGCCTCTGGCAGACCGGGGTGCCTGCCCCACAGGCAAACGCAGCAGGAAGAATCAAGCTGGGTCCCCTGCCCTACTCTTCCCACCACCCTCTCACCCCGGCCCACACCGCACTAAGCCTGCCCCAGCCCAAAGTACTTGGCAGGCTCCAGGGGGGGACAGGCTGGCGGCCACGTGTCACGATGGGACTCCAGGGCGTCAATGAGCCTCTCCCGCAGCGTCTGCACATCAGCACCTGCCACTGTAAATGGAAAGAGGTGTGAGGAAGACACCAGGAGAGGACCAGAGCTGCTTCCGGCCCCCTGCCAGCTTCAACCCCAGAAGCAAAGGGCCCAGGGCACAAGCTAGCTCTGGGAGAGACAGACAATATGTCAGCCCTTCTCTGCATTAGAGGAGCGGGGCTGGGGCTCCTCCTGTGGCCCTGAGCAATGCGAGGAGACCCGTCCCTCAGAGAACAGGACAGGGTCCCTCAGAACCAGGACCCACGAGAGCTTCCCCAGGGCTGTCTGGTCTGCGCTCTGGACGCCGACCCCATTGTCACACGAGGGCTCTTCTGGGAACATGGTGCCCCTGCCCCCCACCCCAGGACCCTGGATGGGCCGAACCTGAAGGGCATCTTCAGCCCAGCTTCCCCTAAGGCATCTGCGAGGACGCCTTTAGGAAGACATAAGTCAGGCTTCACTCGGGGACCTCCTCACCCTTGGAGACCTTGCTGATTGTCAGGGCCTTCTTCGCCCCAGCGGAAACCAGGTGAAAGAAGGAAGCAAGGAGGGGCAGACGCTGGCAGTGCCAACCAGACCATCAGAGCCAGGACACTCACCTGGCAACGTTGCTCCTGAGCCACTCTTAGCAAAGGCCTTAAAGAACTGGAAGGAAACACACAGGCGAGAGTCAGTGACGTGTGGTGGCTAAGAGCACAGCACAGGCGTCAGAGGGATCCGCGTTTAAAACCTGGCTGCTTACTGAACGGGGTGATGGGGCAAATTACTAAACTCTTTTGAGCCTCAGTTTCTTCATCTGTAAAGTGGAGAACAGGGGGGTTTTACTCTGGGAGCTGGACACTGATTCCCTTCCATATTATCCTCACATCCAATCCCTCCCCCACAGCTCTGAAGCCCCCAGGGAACTGTAGGCAGCAGCTCACACACTTTACTACAGGTAGTAGTAGACTGGTCCTTCCTCTCCTTCCTTCGTTTCTTTCTCTTCCTCCCTCCCTCCCTCTCTTCCTTCCTTTTTTAGAGACAGGGTCTTGCTGTGCTGCCCAGGCTGGAGTGTAGTGGCAGGATCATAGCTCACTGCAGCCTTGAACTCCTGGGCTCAAGCAATACTCCTGCTTCAGCTTCCTGAGAAGCTGGGACTACAGGCACGCACCACCGTACCTGGCGAATTTGTTTTTCTCTTTTGTAGAGGTGGGGTCTCACTATGTTGCCCAGGCTGATCTCTAACTCCTGGCCTCAAGTGTTTTCCCATCTCAGCCTCCAAAGTGCTGGGATTACAGGCATGAGCCACTGCACCCAGCCTAGCAGGACCATTTCTATAAAGCAGCAGTACCTAGCACATAATTATTGAAAAACATTTATTGTATGAATGAGTGATGAAGTACCACGGCTGTTTTTCCTTGCAGACCCATCTGAAAAAAATAAAGGGAAGTCACTTTATATATCCCTTGTAAAATGTCAGCTTTCTTCTATGTCACTCTGTCCTTGCTCCTTATCTTAGAAAAATGGGCATAGAGGCTGCTGTCTCCATCCACTGAGAACTCCCAGCCATGCGCAGCAGACACTCAAACAAGGGAGGGGTCTCCAGAACAGGTCCTCTTGAAGGGTGGCCTGAGCCCTTGGAGAAACAAGCCTTGCTACAGACCAGCCAATTCAGTTCACCACTTGTCCTCTTTTCCCACGTGCATGACACCTGAGGCCTAGGTCTGTCACTTCCTTGGGACAAGAGGACAGAGAGAAGCAAGGACAACTCCTTACACTCTGGGCTTCTACCCAAGCGGCAAGACAGCTGCCAAGGCTCTTGCCCGTGCTCTCCTGGCTCAGGAGGGACAGAGCTGAGTTGCCCTGACAGGCAGCTGTTTAACTACCTGAGGAAGAGCCTGCAGGCGAGGAAGAGGCTCCTTCTCTGGACCACTTTCGGTTACCCTGGGCCTCTGTCTCCAACAACAGGGCCATTAGGCCTTATCCCAAGATGCTGGCTGAGTACAGGCTCTGGGATCTGGCACACTTGGTTCAAGGCCTGGCTCTGCTATGCTCTTGCTGTGTGACTTTGGGCAACCCATCAACTATGCTGAACCTTAGTGTTCTCATCTTTAAAATGAGGATGACACCATCAACCTTTAAGAATTATTGTGAGTGGCTGGAGCAACACAGCAAGACCCTGTGTCTACAAAAAAATAAAAATAAATAAAAAATTAAACATTAGACCAGTGTGGTGGTGCACACCTGTAGTCCTAGCTACTGGGAAGGCTGGGGCAGGAGGAGCGCTTGAGCCCAGGAGTTTGAGGTTGCTGTGAGCTATGATAACGCCACTGTATTCTAGCCTGGGGAACAGAGTGAGACCCTGTCTCAAAAAAAACAAACAAACAAAAAACAAACAAACAAACAAAAACAAACGCTGTGAGGATACAACAGAATCAATGACAATACATCTAAAGGGCTCGGCACAGTACCTGGCGCATACAGCAAGGCACTAATAAATATTAACTGCATCGTCATCACATGCCCTTCCAGCTTTCCTTCCTTTTAAAAACCAGGAAACATTGATCAGCTAGCACTTGTTTGTTCCAGCCATTTGTAGGCAGAAAAGTAAACTCTGGAGGCCACCGGCCACCCTCTCCCACGTGAGGAACAAAGACCGCAGAGAAGCCGCCATCTGTCCCCACCCGCAAGCTTCTGCTCCCGCTGACCTCACCGGGACCCTTACTCCTGCTCACTGCTTGATTCTCTCTCCTTTCAAAACATCAGCATAAAAACTTATTCGGGATGAAAACCATCCACTAAGGCCATGCATATTTATAATAGTGTGCTTTATAGTTATTGAATTTTATTGACCTAATAAAATTATGTCATCCTAACACTTATAAAGATGATCGCAAATCTCCTGGATTACGGCCTGAGATCAAGTTGATAATGCAGGTTAAGGCATTTATGGCCTGACATTTTTCGTCAGAAACAAAACTGAAAATACAACTGTTCGGGATTTTGTCTGCTCACAAATAATATACCAGAGGGTGATTTCAGAGCCGCAGTTACGCACAGAGAGAGTGCCCTCGTTTATGTACAGACAGGGCAGACTTCGGCTGGTTTCCATAGACGTAAGAACACGGCTGACATCTGGAAGCTTCAGCTGCGTGGCTTTCCCGAAGCTGTTATCTCAGTTCTGAGAGCAACACGGTCATTTTTCATCATCGCTCATCAGGTCACCCAAATCTGAGCAGGGCCCGTATTACAAGGGGCGGCATCACCTCCATCAAAGGGCAGCCTCTCCGAACTCCAGACGATCCTCTCAAGGCCACGGCCAAGGGCGGCTGGGAGTCAGACAGGCAGCCAGAGAGACCCTGCCCCCAGGTGCAGCCTAGAGGGAAGCCTCCTCCCTGACCTCGGCCTCCGCTTCTGTCCTCCAAAGCTTTCCATCGACCTTCCAGAACAACACCAGCACCTGAGCTCTGGCCCCCACACCTCACGCTCCCCAGGAACTCTCCTATCCATGTCCCTGTCATCGTTCCCCTTTCCCACCGGCGCCTTCCCTAGGCCTGCAAACAGATTCTAATCCTCCTGACCTAAACTGTTCAAAAAGAGGAAGGACAGCAAGAGAAGGAGGCTGGGAATCGAGAGGTGCTCCTTCCCTCTCCAGCGGTGGCAGTCCCCGTGTCCCCGTGCTGCCAAGCTTCTCAGAACGGCGCCCGCTCTCGCTCTGTGCCGTGAGCAGCTGGCGCCGGCTCTGGCCCCACCACTCAGCCGGCTGTGCTGGGAGAGCTCAGCGGTGACCTTCTCTTCAGCCAGTTCAGCGACCTCTCGCCAGACCCCGTCTGATCTGATGTCACTCCTGCCTGCTTTGCCGTCCACGGCTAGCGTCTGTCATTTTCTGTGCCACGTTTTCTGCATACTCTCCTTTGCCTCATGTCACCGCCCTCTCCTGGTTTGCCTGACACTGACCAGCCCCTCTTGGCCACCCTCACCCTTGTCTGAGCCGCCCCTGACCACTCTCCTGTGCCCGCTGTCCTCACCATCTCCTGCCCCCGTCTCTCCCACAGGCACACAGCAGATTGTGACACTTCTGTCGAGGGCGCTGTCCCAAAGAGGGCACTCGGTCTGTGCCTTGGAATGGATGAGGAACAAACCTATCGCTTCTCCCTCGCCAAAGGCAATGCCTCAGTCCAAACCATTTGCAGTCTGAACCCTCTGCCTCAGGTCCATACCTGTCCTAGGCCTCTGGTTCCTCCCGGTGGCCTCCACCCAGGTGTCAGGATATACCCCCCCCACACATCCCTGCCCCCAAGACTGAGTCACCCCTCCCCCAACCTGCTTGGCCACCTGAGTTTCGTATCTCACCCCGTGATCGGTCCTGCTCCCTGTCACCTGTGCCAGCACCGCCCTCCCCCACACTGCCATCTCCCAGGGTCCTGCTCCCTGTCACCTGTGCCAGCACCGCCCTCCCCCACACTGCCATCTCCCAGTCGGCCGACAAGTTCTGTGAATTTGACCTTGGTGACATCCCTTCAACAGCCTCCTTCTCCTCCTCGTGCCTTGTCTAGGCCAGGCCGACAGGCGGAGACGAGTTCTGGGCTATAGCGCTAGTCCTCACCCGCTCACCCGCCGTGCGCTCAGAACTGTCAATACGCCCCACCTTTCCACTCTCCAGCATCTTCCTCACCGCCACTAAGGCTAGTTTTTAGTTTTCTAAGGCACGATTCTGGCCTTATCACGTCGCTCCTCCTCAAATCTCCTCCACGACTCCCATGGCCAATGAATAATGTCCAAACTCGCTGTATTCAAGGCCTTCCAGGATCTGAACCCAGACTTAACCCTCACAGCGCCCCATCCTCTACACTCCAGCTATGGTGGGCTTCAACCTGAACTCCGCATGCCCCACCCGGCTGCCTCCCTGGCCGGGGGGCAGGACAATAGTCTATCCATCTCTGCAAGCTCCAAATGCCTGCCCGGCAGTGTCCAGCACACGGAGGTACCCAACCGACGTCTGTTCAGTCGAACAGAGCACCTCTGCCCTTTGATCATCCTGGAAGCTCATCTAGTCCGGGCACATTTTTGTCCTCTTATTAAAATGCACCCTCTTAAGTCAGCCGTTGGAGGCATGTGCCCTGCCCACGGGAAACCACCACGGTTCCCTGGAAACAGGCAATTAAGATGTCAGGAGTGAGTTTCTTTTCTCCGGGGGCAGTCAGTACCCATCCCTTTCCTGTCGTCACTTTAGCAAGAGCTCCAGGAGGACCTCCAGCGGCTCCCAGCGGCATGAAACCAGGTGGCACTAGGCTGGTCTTGCACACCTATGGGGCACCTGCCTTCCTGGGGCCAAGACAGCTGGACAGAAAGCACACTTTCCAGGGGTGACCACTGATGGTGCTGAAGTCAAGCTTTCGTAACAACTTTTAAGGAAAATGATCCAGTCTACAAACGTTTTATGGTCAGCCCACGAGGATCCACAGCTTTCCCCACGTCCTGTGCTGCAGAGGAGACGCCAGGAGAGAGCAGCTGGCTGCTGAGCAGGGGCCCGTCTCCTTCTTCCAGAGGGAGGCAGGAGACATCTTTCTGAGTCTTGTCCTCCTCGCTGACATCTCACCCTCTAGCAAGAGCCACAGAAGATAAAGGCCGAGACTCTGGACCCCCACAGGGCGTCTACGCGCCCAGCCTCACGTTCAAGGACCCACAATTCATTACTGGGCTCCCTCTTCCCCATCCCGCCTCATCCCTGACAGCAGCAGCAGCCCTGCCCACGCAGCCCTGCCCAGGCGGGGCCTGCCTCTCACCTTCTCCCCTGCTTGTGATGCCCACCACCCCTCCTCCTCTCCTAGCCAAACCTCATCTGTCCTTCCACACCGACTGGAAGTCCCCTCCCACGTGCAGTCCTCTCCAACCAGCGAGGAAAAGAGCTCAGGGAGCCCAGGAAACTCCTGCAGCATCTGCGGCACGCACATCACTCACGCCTCCATAAGCTGCTCGGCCCTGTGCGTCCTCATGGACAGAAACCACGTCTCACATTCCTGGCCTTTCCCAGGAAGGCAAGGACAGTGCCATGCACCAGCAAACACCCACTCAAAGCTGCTGATGGATGGGCTGTCTCAGATGCGGCGACCACAGAGGAGCTACCAGCAGTCCCGTGGGGCAACCCAGGAAGGAGATGGGGCAACAGGATGAAGAAAACTAACACTTACTGAACCTCAAATGACACCAGCGTCCCAGCACTTTCACATCTAAGACCTCATTTCACACTTGGCAACAATCCTCTTAAGTAGATGTGATCACCCCATTTTTACAGATAATGAAACTGAGTCCCATGGCTGGGGCATTGTTAGGTGACTTCCCAAGCCACATACAGTAAGCAGTGGAGCCAGGATTTGAACCCACATCAATGATCCCCTCAAGACCTTGAAAAGGGAAGACACCTCTTCTCCCATCCCAAGGCTGCTGCTCTGTGTCCTCATTCCAGCCAGATCTCTGACCACAAAGGGTCTCATTCCATTACCCACTGAGGGGCACTCAGCGGCCCCTGGAAAAGCCCTTTGCCCCAGAAGTTCCAGCCTCTAGGTCTCCAGGCTCCAGCAAGCACCTGCCACAAACAGGCCCCTCCCTCCCCACTCCTTTGTTTTCTTCCCCGCTGGGCTCTGGCTGGGTCTGATGGGGACCTGACGTGGCCTGCCTGCCCACTGGGCCAGGTGTTTGCTGAACAGGCTGGGCTGGTGGAAGCTCCCTGTTTGCTCATGGTGACAAGGGGCAGGAGGCAGAGGAAAGGACAGTGACACATATCACTGGGGGAGGCCAGACTCTTGTGTGGGCCTGTCACTGGGCTTCATTCCAGAAACACTCTCTCTTCCCCTGTCCTCACCTGAGAGCCCTCACAGCCCTACGGGGAGAGAGCACAAGGACAGGCTCCAGTCCCCAGGGGACAGCAGGCAGGGCAACAGGGCTGTCTCTCTGGTCTGCTGGCCATGGGGCAGACCTCTAGGGCCAGCTCTGTTTCCAGGGAGTCCCACCATGATGGCCCCGGCACACCAGGCTCTTAATGGGCCAGCATCTCTGGAGATCTAGAATTTGTCTGAGCAGAGTTTTCCAAACATTGGAAGCAACCTATTAGTAAGTTGTCAAAACAATTTAGTGAACCACAGCCAGTATTTTAAAAAAATAAATGGAACAGAACAGAAAATATCAGAGTGCACTGCACTTAGTAAGAATAAATGGTGTCTTATGAAACTTTCGTTTTAGTGGTAACAGAGACACCCCGACTTTGGGATCACAATGTCAAATGTGCATTTCTTACAGTAGGTCACAGTAGAAAACGTGTGAAAGCCACGGCATGGGGCCTGTGAGCAGAGACCACCAACAGCTTGAACCACTTGCCCAGAGACTGGCATCCTAAGGACAGGGCCCTGAGTGCCTCTCCCTGGCTGAAGCTGAGCCGCAGCTTGCTCCGGAGAGGCAGGGAAGGCCTTGCCGAGGAGGCCACAGCACTGGTCTTTGGAGAGCTTAAGAAATGGACAGATGATGACCCGACTGGCCCAGCCAGGTGCCACGTGTCTGGTGGCAGGGGAAGGCGGAGAAGCCCAGTGAAGGGCCCTCCCGGCGCCCCTCCCGCAGCCGGCTGGGCAGTTAAGGAGATGATTAATCACTTGAGGCATTCAGGCCGCGTGTGCTGCGTGACCTGGGTAGGCGCCGAGGAGCCCTGGACCTCTGGCTGCTGGGCCGCCTCCTTCACGCCCAGCCTCTGGGCCCAGCCTCTCCCAGGCAGAAACGGAAAGGCCCAGGTGTGAGGCCCCATGGAACCCCAACAGGATGCCCTGACCTGGCACTGTACCAGTGCCAATCCCTTCCCTGGGGGACGACAGTGGCTGGACCCCTGTGTTCCATCCTCCCTGGGAGAAAACTACCAGCCTGTGAGTGACGGCTCACGCCGCCAGGCTGCTCTTCCCGCAGCTTCCCGCTCAGGGCTGTTAGCCCTGTCTCGGCAGAAGGAACAGAGCACCCTGACTGAATATTTTCAATTATTATCTTGGGGCCAAGGAGAAGGCAATGTCCCTGCCAGGGAGGTCTTTATTTTAAAGGAATGATTGGTAAGCAGCCTCTCTGCTGCCACCTCTAAGGGACATGGCAGTGGCTATTGGCCATACTGTCCCCAGATCGCCTGGCCATGGCTAAACTTGGGGCCTGGGCTGCGACCCGACATGGTAACAGTTTAGGAAGGGACTTCTACTGGGCGTGGAACCCCCGAATCCAGCAGGATTTCACTGGGCTCTAGGAACAGAGAGGTCACATGGAGTTAGAGCTGGACATTCCCAGAGGAGCCTGGGGCCTTGCTTTGCGGACAATTGCTGCTGGGGCCATTAGGCTGAGTTCTGGCTTATGGTTCTGCTTGGAACTCGAGGCTCCTGAGCTCAGAGATATCTTGTTCCAGGCACAATGCTTGGCATTTCAGCTTTCAAAGGCATTTCCTGATTATTCTTAATGGCTACAGAGGAAACTGCTTTTCTAGATGTCATTTCGGTAGGAGGGGTATATTATTTATAGCTGGAGATAGAGAGGCAGAGGTTTGAACTTGGCTTCTCTAATTTGGAAGAAAACTAACTGGACCCGAGCCAGGCCTGAGCCCCGGGGAGGGCCCTCACTGTCCCTCTAGCAGCCGTGCTGCCTGGGCTGTCCAGGGGCCTCTCATCTGAGAGCCTTGGAAGCTGTTCAGACATTAATAATGTTGATGCCCTGCGGTGGACAAGCTGGCAGGCAAGGCATCATCTGAGAATTCGTGCCACTTTCTGCCAGAGCTAGGGTGACAGAACCCTCATGCCTCGGGTGTGATAAGTCCCGTGCTGGGGATCCCTGCTGCCTGAGGCATCGGCATTCAACAGTGGGGTGAGGCTACCCTGACAGGTCACTGCTGAGCTCCTTGTGGTTCAGGCACTGGCCTGAGGAGAAGGAGGCCTGCCAGAGTCTCCAGGGTCCCTTTCCGGGGGACTGTTAGGCTCCTGGAGTCTGATCCTGCCCATGGATGGGTCAGAGCCTGAACCCTGGTTTTATGGAGTCAGATCAGACCTCTAAGGCTTGGCGGTCAGGAGAGAGAGGAGGTGAAGAGGGCCCTGGGGGCTCTCGCCCGTCTACGTGAGGGTCACTTGCCAGCTCAGATCAGAGCAGCTGAAATCTGCCCAACCCGACACAGCCACAGGCAGCCCCTGTGCCTCATAAAGGGCAGAGTTTTCCAAACCAAGTGAGCCTCTCTCCTTTCTGCCTCTGCCTCTACCACAGGTGTTCCAGCAAGCAGAGGGACAGTGCTCCAGGGGCTGTGACTTAAACACATCAGGCCTGGAGGATCGGAGGACCACAGAGCTCAGCAGCCTGGGCAGATGCTGGAGGAACACAGAGCAGCTGAGGACATGCTTGGCCAGAACCAGCCCCGGCCCACCGCTTTCCCCTCCTTGCCACACACCCTCACGGTCCCGCTGCTGAAACCCTGGCAAAGCGAACCATGGCATCTTCCTGGGCCGCAGCCCGGGCGTGGGAAACAGAAAACAAGTTCATATACTAGGCAGGTCTCCCAAGCTCTGACTTCATGCCAGGTGCCCCTGGAGCACCCACCAAGTTCCACCCTACATGGAGGCTGCTCCAGCTGGAAGGCAAGATACACACACAGGAAGCCACACAAACTGTGAGATGGCAAGGACTGGTACCAAATTATGTGGCACAGAACCTAAAGAGGTTTGGACCCAGGCGAGATCCTGGGACCTGCAGACCAAGGCACGGCCTTTGCAGGAAAGGTGGAAATTCAGCTGAACTTGACAGCCAGTCCCACAGACAGAGAACTGGCTGAGCAAAGGTGGAGGAGAGAACTGGCAGAGACCCAGCTACTGGAGAGTTCTGCGAAGACTTGGGAGCTGAGCTAGATGGGAGGCAGGAAGGGGCCAGGCTGTGCGTGTTTGCCTGCAGGGGTCAGGGCTGCTCCCAAGGGACCCTGGAGCCAATGGCCTCCCTGGGGCAGACGAGAGGAGGAGGCTGCCTGCCCCCCACAAGCCCCAGCATGCCTAGGGCCCCACACCTCCTGCCCAGGGGGGAGGAAGTGGCATTTACACAGGCAGCTCACCCAGTACCCATCATGCACACACACTGTGCTTTGCCAGGACCTCTGATCTCACCCTTGAACCTATTCCTCACGATATCTAAAAACAACACGATTTCAGAAGGCATCAGAGCTCCGCAGAACATTCTGTGCCTGGGGAAGGAGTGTGACCCCCATTTCCCAGAGACAGATGCAGGAAGTGCCTGACGAAGTCGGACCCACCCCTCAAAGGAAAGCAACTAGGCAGGTCCTCCTTAGCACAAGGGAGGGGGGCTGGGGGCTGTGAGGAAGGCCCACAGCCATACCCACTCCCCCCACTTCCCTCTGCTCTTGGCACAGAAGCTTCTGGACTCCCGGCAGGAGGGAGGGAGGGAGCAGGGTGTGGGGGGAAGAAGTGGATGGAAGCGATTACCAGCAACGGACTTCAAGAAATATTCAGCAGAGACAGGTGAGCCATATCCCATCATACCGTTTCCCCGACCTGCCAAACAGCTTTTCGAGAGCTCTCTGGACTCCCCTGGCACATAAGGGCAGCAGCCTGAGCTTGTCCAAATATCTACAACCTGGTTTGTACCCTTTGGCCTCAAATCGCACTTGCAGAGCAGGCTACACAAAGGCGGGTGTGCCAGGCTCAGGACGCAATCCCTCCTGCCTCGACATTCTTCCCTACCCTGCCCCTGCCTGCTGTCCACGCTCCTGGGGAGGGGCAGAGTAGGGTAGTCCGCCCACACGGACCTGCTAATTCCAACCTGCCTCCACATCCTGTCCACTCTCCCTCCTAAGTCCCTTCCCCCACGCACCCCCATCCTCTCACCCCTGCCCTAAGTTGGCTCGGACACCTGCTCTGGCTTCCTTACTCACCTCACCTCTAACCTACTCTCTGCGTCCAGTGAGCAATCGCAGAGGTTCTTCTGACAGGTCCTCTTCAGAGAAACAGAAACGTGCCATTTCTCTCCATCGAGGTTCTGTTGTGCTCCACCCCTCACTGGCTCTCCAGCCACCAAATGATCTTTTCTATCTGTGGGTCTGATTATGTTGCCCTCTACTCAATATTCTTTGGTGGCTCCCATTGCCTTTAGAAGAAAACCTACCGCTGTAAGGCAATTCCTCATCTGCCCTGAACACACACATCCAGCCTGCTCTTCCACTGCCCCAAATCATACTCTAGCAACGACGAAGGTTGTCTCTCTCCCTGAAAGCACTGGCCTCTCGCTCAGATCTCCAGGCCACACCCCATAAGAAAGAGCCCCTCTGCAGCCCACCCTTCCCCCGCAACAAGCTCCTATTTGCAGGTCCAGTTCAATTTGCATACTAGTCCCCCAGGAGAGCTGCCTCGCGAGCCCAAGGCTCAGGGTCCCATTTGTGTTGCTACCACAGTGCCAAGCCTGTTCATCTCCAAATGTCTTTCTGCTTTTGCATCCTCACTGCCTAGCAGCCCCATTATCCAGGACGCAACAGGCACACAGTGAATGTACACTGAATCACACTATCGCCCCAGGCCAGGGGCTGTCTCTCCGCCACTCTAGTGCTACATTTTCTCTTTGCTCTCAGCCTCGGTCTTTCCTCAGGTCCAGATGGAGCGTGAGGGTAAAGCCAGTCACCTGTGAAGGCAGGAATGAAGAATAAAGGGTCACAGGAGAGAAGCACTCCCCAGTGGCAGCCTGCTATCCAAGTAAGGGTTTCTCCCTGGATCACAGGCAAGAGCATCCTAGGTCCTCTCTGTGCCTCCCACCCAAGGGCAGCCCAGGGCAGGGTGGAAAGCACAGGCCACCTCTTAGGGCCATCCGCACACTCTAAGCTTATCT